AGATCTGTGTTATAACGATCGGTTTTCCATGTTTACACAAATGGGATGTTTATTTGCCTTAGATGAATACCTACATTAGATTCCTTTTCAGTGTTTATTTTACAGGACTTCAACACAACTCAGATGATCAAGAACACGTGATTAACCTGACTAGAACGTGAATATATTTCCACACCAAAACCCGACGCAATCCAAAAAGTAATCAACAATCAATGATAATAATAATAAGGATAGGAGAATATAGAGCTTATAGATGGTGGTTGGAGGTAGTCAACAGGAAACCCGGGTCCAGGGTTTCCTGTTGACTACCTCCAACCACCATCTAAATCTCAATACATAGTGCCCGCAGTGTCGAGTCACCTAGACTGGTGGCCACATTGCAACATGATCGATAGCATTCGATCTGCACTAATAAGGACTAGACAAGCATGACATTGATCACCACCCAGTGATCAATCAATTGTGAATATAGAGATTATCTAATACCTGTCAAACTATCTACAAGTTTAACTCAGCAAAACAACCAATCATTATTGGAAATCAAAAACAACTTGGATGAACACTTTTAGAATGTAGAACTTAATGGATCCTATTTGATATGAATAGAGAAAAAATAAACTCACAGCTTTCAACCTAAATGTCTGATCCACGATGCAGTGGATAAACGTCAGTAGATGCAGTCCCATTGCAGTCGGTGACCAACAAATAGTTCATACGCTATTTGTTCCTTCAGGATACTGAGGCTCATGTGCACTATTGGTTTGTAATGAAGTTTTTCCAACTTCTTCTAGATGAACCCTTCGTATCCATCAACATTCACTTTTCCTCCTCTCAATTTCGTAAACAACACCCCTAGTGTGAGAAAGCATTGAGTAGGACTTCCCTGTCAGTGTCTGTATGCATGTGAACATGTGAGGACATTTCGAGATGGAGATCTGACACTCCCTACCCTCGACCATTCCAAGACATTCGGAAGCAGATAATCACATATTACAAACATAATGATTTGGAGTTACAATTTACCAATGAAAATCTGTACACATTTGTACTCAACTCAGTGATAAATTGATGACTGTATACCAATGATGTTTCGTACATGTAATCTGCCTGACTTTTTTATCTGAATGTTCAATATAAAGCCTTCTGATACCCAAAACATTGTTTTCTTGTATGTATTCATCAATCATACGTTAATATTACAGTTTATTACGATATAATACACTCCCATTTTCATAAAAATGGGTTACTAAGCGTTATAACAGTCGAAGTTTCCTCGTCTGAAATGATCTTGAGAACGAGTCGCACATTATATCAAGATGTAAACACCGCAATTTACACCACTACTCATTTGACATGACCAAGATACTGAAGTATGTAGCGATAGACCACACACTCCGAAATGTGCATTGAATCAAAATACACTTTCATTCCCTGTTTCACTGAATATGCAAAGAAACAATTCAAGGGAGACCCGATATCGAAGGATCAAATAGCGATGTCGCTATGAATGCTTGGCTACCATAAGCCAGTTATAACACTAACCTTTTAAATTACAAAATAATCGAGTCTCTGATAAACAGTCCGTGTAGATATGCGTGTGTGTGTATCCTTTGTGACTAGGAAACAATAATAAGAAAACGGATTGAATAGTGTTTCCTAATTTTAAACTCTTCTCTAGTTCCTACTTAAAAAAGGAAAAAATCTTCTTCCCTGAAAGTAACAAATAGGATCCAATTAATCTTATATACTTGAAGTATTCCTTCGAGTTGTTTTCAGTTTATTAGTCTATACACTTAATTCTCTTTAATATTAAGGGGTGAAGTAGTAAAAACAAGTTCAATAGATCTTATCCTAGAAGATATATTCATGGTTCAACTTGAAAAGAATAAACATAAAGATGGGATTGATGAAATGGCATATTATTTGAAGTATGTTGAAGATCGTTTTATTGTATAGAATGATCGAACTACAAGGCCCACAAATGTCTTAGTACGATCGAGAGTGAGGAGTGGCAGCTCTTCCTCTGCAAACGCTCTCACATGGCCACGTGCATACAACAGCAACCAGAGAAATCTTACTCACTGCCTTCTCGTACCACTAGAGTTGTTTACGAAATTGAGAGGACAAAAATCTAATGCCCGGTTCCTTAACGTGCGTTGGTGAATGTGGAAGATTTACCTGGAGGAGTTGGAGTACTCTCACTCCAAATCAACGACGCACATGGACTCCAGTATCCTGAAGGAACAAATGGCGTACGAACCAATCGTTGGTCATCAGCTACCTTGGGATTGCATCTCTTTACAATGTTCGACTGCCTTGTGGATTAGACCTTTAGGTCGAAGGCTCTGGGTGTGACCCTCAAAGAAAACCACCTGTTTCGGTTTGGGCACCCAGACAGTATCACAGCACTCACACAAATCAAGTGACTTGTGTGGTGCATATGTATTTGATGCCACTTCGTACCAATATTTATTTGTTCAAATAAATAAACATATGAAAAATGAAGACAAAACGCCTAAAGAATATATAACAGACAAGAAACCTATTTTCATTCAACTTAGATGATATTGTTGCAGTTACAGTATTCAGATGATCAAAAACTGGTTATCTTATATGAAACATTGTGTTCTTTGCTCGAGTCAAAGACTAATGTGTACCCCTTTCATGTTACCGCCAACTGTGTATATAAATTATTATATACCTTTCGAAGCAAATGAATCGCTAGAACAGTAAATATGGGCTACATTCGTTTTGAAGAACACACCCAAAAAATGTTTCAGTTCATTAGGAAATACTGGCTTTTAGCAATATTGTTGCTAAACAACAGATTGATAGACTGAATTGTTTCAAGATTATCAATCAATAGTTGAATTTCATTCTTCTCAAATTCAGGGAAGGCATGGCTACCAAATACTTTAAAGCCCAATTTATGTATCCTAAAAGAAAACTGACAAATCTTTCCTTATAATGATAACCTACTTACACCTGTAACTCCTCGTGAAGAGGAGCATAGGCCGCTCAACAACATTCTCCATCCAACACTGTCCTAGGCAATCCTTTACAACTCTTTCAAATTCTTATTCATCCTTTTCATATCAACTTCTATTTCCCGACGTATTGTGTTCTTCCGCCTTCCACCGTTCCGAGTCACTTCAGGATTTCAATTTAGAGCCTATCTCATGGTGCAGTTTCATGATTTCCGAAATGTATGTCTCATTCACTTCCAACATCTTTTTATAATTTCCTCGTCAACTAGAGGCTAGTTTGTTCTGTCCCACAGTAAGCTGTTGCTGATGGTATCCGGCCATTGGATGTTGAGTACCTTGTGTAGACAACTATTTTTTAAATACTTGTACCATCTTGATGATGGTTTACAGGTACTTTTATTTTTCTTGACCCGAAGCAAAGAACATATGAAACATAAAACAACTGTCTGTCAATCAATATCAAAGTGAGAATCTTCAATACGAAAGTTAAAATAGTCGTAATGCACGGAACTGAGATTTGAAAAACTACTACAATCATCATCGAAACAATACAAGTATTTATAAACAATTGTCTACACAAGATAACATCAGCAACAACCTACTGTAGCTGAGAAAAAACTAGTATCCATATGAAGAAAAAATTAGGAAAAGACACGAGGTGAATAGGACATACGTTAAGCAAATCATCAAACTGCATCACGAGACAGGTGCTAACTTGGAATCCTGAATGGGAAGATCAAAGAACACATTGCACCAAGAACCGGAACCAAACATCACGAGGACGAATATCAACCAAAAACAACTGGAAAGGATTGGGTAAGACAAAGTTGGATAAAGAATGCTAGTGAGCGACTCATACTCCACCACGAGGGTTAACAGGCCTAAGTAAGCATAATATTCTGGATCTGATATAGACATGAAAGCAAGGATTAGTAAAGGAAGGACAGAATTCCTACAATCAAAACAACAGTCTATCAACTAATATCAAAGTCACAACAACTGTCTACACATGATACTCAATGTCCGTTGACCGAATACCATCATCAACAGACTATTGTAGGAGAGAACAAATCAGTTTCCATCTGAAGAACAAATTAGAAAAAGACACTGGAGGTCAATAGGACATACATTTAGCAAATTATCAAACTGTATCATAAGACAAATGCTAACTTGAAATCCTGAAAGGGAAGATCAAAAAACACACTACGTCAAGTATTGAAATAAGACATGAAGAGAACTGGAAAGGATTGCTCAAGACATAGTTGGATAAAGAATACGGATGGTTGGTCTATACTTCTACACGAGGGTTAACAGTCCTAAGTAAGCAAGTAAGTAAGTAAGTAAGTAAGTAAGTAAGTAAGTGAGGAAGGAAGGAAGGAAGGAAGGAAGGAAGGAAGGAAGGAAGGAAGGAAGGAAGGAAGGAAGGAAGGAAGGAAGGAAGGAAGGAAGGAAGGAAGGAAGGAAGGAAGGAAGGAAGGAAGGAAGGAAGGAAGGAAGGAGGGAAGGAAGGAAGGAAGGAAGGAAGGAAGGAAGGAAGGAAGGAAGGAAGGAAGGAAGGAAGGAAGGAAGGAAGGAAGGAAGGAAGGAAGGAAGGAAGGAAGGAAGGAAGGAAGGAAGGAAGGAAGGAAGGAAGGAAGGAAGGAAGGAAGGAAGGAAGGAAGGAAGGAAGGAAGGAAGGAAGGAAGGAAGGAAGGAAGGAAGGAAGGAAGGAAGGAAGGAAGGAAGGAAGGAAGGAAGGAAGGAAGGAAGGAAGGAAGGAAGGAAGGAAGGAAGGAAGGAAGGAAGGAAGGAAGGAAGGAAGGAAGGAAGGAAGGAAGGAAGGAAGGAAGGAAGGAAGGAAGGAAGGAAGGAAGGAAGGAAGGAAGGAAGGAAGGAAGGAAGGAAGGAAGGAAGGAAGGAAGGAAGGAAGGAAGGAAGGAAGGTAGGTAGGTAGGAAGGAACGGACGGACGAACGAACGAAGGTAGCGAATTGCTTCTTTTTCTTTAAATATGAGTATAAACAATATCACTTACCGCTAATTTCAATGATAATTCTTTTGTTAATATCACACCTTTTTGTATTTCAATTTCAATGATTGATCTAGTACAACGTTCTGTATGAAAATTATATTCTTGTTCAGAATCTGTATTATTTTTAAATGTTGTAGAGAATAATATATTAGATTTAGGTAATTTTATTCGATTATTATCATAATATTCTGGTTTCTCATTATTCACATGTATATCATCCCATATTATACGTAATATTAATTCAATTGGATCATATTTCTTTTGATCTTTTGTTGCTGTTAAATGATACATATTAATTGCCCATAATTTTAATTGATTTGTTATATCAAATAATTCAGTTTCTTTCATTGATTTCAATGGTATCGATCTATTCATTATGAGATCTATGAATGAATTTTGATCCAGATCAAATAATTCAATATGAACATGATCATTATTATTAGTATTAATTCATTTCTTGTTCCTTTAATCCTATTGGTTAATCATGATAAATTTAATTGACCAATCAAAATCGTTTAATCATTTATGTAAATAATGGCAATAGTAGTCATGTTAGTAATATTAGTAGTATATGTCTATTTCTCATTATTATTTCCAGTTTATCACTATGGTTTGTTTAGATAAGAATATTTGCATATTTGTGTGTACATATGTATATAGATCTATATATGTGTGGTTGTGTTTGTGCATGAATACATTTCGACCCCTATGTTATATGTATGATATATGATGATGAAGAAGAGGGTAGGTATGTGTGTGTGTGTATATGTATATGCATGATACGATTTGATCAGTTAGTATGTCAAATTTTTCGGTGAATATTTTGTCTCCTGTTGTATTTACAATCTAAGGGACATTTTGAAATTATCACTATGGGCATTTGTGGAGATTATAATATTTATGAAACAATCTAATGTAGACCAGTATTGAAAACCTGGAAACACTGTATGAATGTTTCATCTCAGTATGAAACTATTCAGTAGTGAGCATCCATGATCATATAGATGAGACTAGAACTTAGGGCCTAAGGTGGCGCACTCGAACGCTTAAACTGTAGACGATTAATCTGGCATCTAAAGTTATTAATCTCTAACTTCAATTGATCCATGATCTTGTGCAATCCTATATCCATTGTCAGATGTGAATAACTATCTCATATCCGACATAGATTGGACTACACTGATCACAAATTACACAGTGGAATTTTTAAAAAATCAACACGTTCACTAATTATTAGTATTTAGTTTTACAAGAAAGTAACGTAAAGTACTCGATTTTTGAATGTTGACTCATATTATTAGTAAGGAGTCTTGAAGATGATTATGTTTTATTGAAATCGTGAACTGATCCAAGTTAGACAACAATTGAAAAACTGAAAGCATTAGAGATTTGTTTAACCATATTATGTGACTTCACAGCAATGTAAATCGAATATCATTCCATAAGGAATTGAACCTAACACCTTCCTTGTTGCGCACAATTCCTTAACCTCTAGACTACTGAGACGGGTTTTGATTATATACCAGTGTAACTTCAGTTAGATCATGATATTGCACGACCATCTTCGGTGGGTACCTTCTCTACACCCGATAAGGTTGAATTCCACTGAGCACAACTCGGATTACTGGGCAAGTGACAGTGAGGTTAGACACGGGGTATTTGAGAATGATGGTAAATCAGTTGATGAGGTTGTGAATCTTTATCGACTAAGATGTTTAGGCCACGTGTTACGTATGCTTGAACACCGATAACCACGGCGCATAATGCTGAATAGTGTTGGAGAAGGTTGGAAGAAGGTCAGGAGTGGCCAAATCAAAACGTAGCATGTTTGAATTCGTTTCTCTCTATCTAAATTTAGAACTCACCTGTTCCAACCCTTGAAGTAATTGACAGTGCTAATCATTTCGTTTACCTTAAAAATTCCATAAGCAATGATGAGTTGATGCTCAAAAGAAATCTCAGCCTGATTTCAGTTGGCTTTTTCTAGCTTAAATTATTTGTAGCATCATTGAGATGTATTATTGTCAACTAAAGAATAAGTATACTATTTAGCACTTTTCTCCATTCTCTTTATGAGTGTAAAACATGCCCCTTAAAGATAGTAAAGATATTTGTAAGTTACTACTATTCGATCTCAGGTATATTTGAGCGATTGGTTGTGTATTTTGGGATCATCGAGTTAGCAAGTCTGAGATTAGATGCAGGATACTAGTCGTACATGGTAAATTAATTGATGAGGTATTTAAGACATGTATAGCCTTCGATTGACTACCTAGATGGATAATGATGGCTGGTGAATGTATGATTTGGAAAACAACTACGGTTTATCAAACAAGATTCGTCATTAATCCATAAAGATACTGGGTGTTGTGCTAAACCATATGGACTATTCCAGATTATCCGGTTGGAGTCTGTGATAAACGACATCTATATTTAGAAACTGGTTGAAATTACTCTTAGGTCACAAGTTTTTAGATTACTTCATAGATTTTCTAATCTTCCACTAATCAGTGTTTTCTTTTCGAAGTTTACCTTAGAAGCCTAATCTTTTCTATTACTGTTGATACTGTTGCCATCTGTACTAAACTAGGATTTCCCTTGATAATTTCATCTTGCTGTGCTAATGGAATACGGCAGCATGAACTGATTTACATATGTGCCAGGTTCTATGTTGAATATGAATTGATTGACTGATCGATTCCCAAAAACAAGGCATAACGTCGTATCAATAAACCCTAATCTTTCATTTTATCATTATCGATTAAAAGAGGAGAATAAACATTTGAACTTCTTCAGCGTTATGTCCTATGAACCTGATGATTACCACATGATAAGATTGCTAATTATAACACTGACTTATATGATCTTGGCACTGAGCCAAAACAGTGGAGCGTTAACCAGTACGAGCAGTCTACAGTCAACTCTGAGTCTTTATTTGTTCTTCTTGCCCAATCCTGTTGGCTTGAGTGCAGAATACGATATCAGTTTCCACTGTACATATTATGTATTTCAGATATACGCAGATAACATTCACTGATTCTTCGTCCGGCTATAAAATTCAGTTTCCTCAATAGTTTAGAGTTTGGATTTAGATTTGTTGAAGTTATAGTACAATTTTAGTTCATGAATATGTCGTTGAGCTAACTGATTGTATTCAGATTCCAACTCTCTTATCTAAGTTCGTATCATAACATAAACCCACTGATGACTGGTTTTAAAAATGTCTGAAACTGTGAGGTTAACTAAACTGAGAAGGCTACAATTAATCATGTGTAACATTGATCAAAAATCATGCTTTGCTATAAATTGACTAGAATTAGATTCGCAAATTAATGTGCATTCAACAAAATGGTTAAAGGTGGCATTACATACAAACATACATGGGTCTCAATGGATCAAACTACAGAGAACCACATAAATAAGACTTGCACCACCAAAAAACTCAGACGGTCAATGTGAGACGTGAGAATCAAGAGCGAAGCTCACATAGCCTCAGATCAACACATCATTGTGAATGACAAGATGAAACTCAAGCTAAACAAACACTGGACAACCGGACAAACAGCATCACAAACCTTCGACACAGACTTCTTATGAGATACTGACAAACTCAATCAATTCAAGATAACTCTCAACAAAAGGTTTCAACCCTTACAAAATATACTGGGAGAAGCGGTAACTACTATGGAGGACAGTTGCAAAGGGATCAATCAACCACTAACTTCAACATATCACGAGGTTCTCGGACACAACAAGCATCATCATAAGGAATGCACCTCTAACGAAACCTCAAACAACATTCAACAAAAGAAGAACAAGAAGACAGCAATTAGCAACCACTAGCCGAACAACAACAGAGAAAGTCAAGTCACAAACTCAATACACAGAAGCAAACGAACAAGTTAATAGGAGCTTTAGGGCCTGACAGACAGAAATACGTATAAGACAGCAACCACGGCGGAAAAAGCTGCAAAGAGAACGCAATATCAAATAACTATGTGACACAAATAAACTAGAAAGTAAATATTGTAAACCAGACACACCAGTCGAGGATAAAGAAGGCAAGCCAATCACTGAGATTCAACAATAGAGCAAAAGATGAGTAGAATACTTCGAGGAATTCTTGAATAGACCAGCTCCACTGAATCCACCGGATATCGAAGCGACATGATGGGTAAAACGTTTAAGTAAGTAGGTTAAATAAGTTAATTTTGATGGCCTGATTTGTGACTGGGAATCTTCGTAAGTCTCATTATTCTTGTACTCAAGTTGACTGTCTTGTTCAATCGATCTCTGATGATGCAATTGATAAACCTTCTCTGTAAAGATTAATGGACTGGATCTATAATAATATGTGTATTAATTACTGATTGAACGAAATTCCATGATCCTAGAAAGTTCATGTCATTCTTAGAATTTCGTTGATCCATAGTTTTAACATTTCTTGAATCAACTTTATTATCCGCGAATCCATTGATACATCATACCTTGTACGCTCCTCAGCTACTTTGGTCTTTACATTCTTTTAGTTAATATATTTTGCAACCTATATAGAAAAGAATGAAGAGATCGCAGTAGTTTTTGAGACACTGACACATTTTCATCACTCCTCACTTATCTTTACATATTCAAAATATTCACAGAGTTCTCTACATTAGATTGATGTCACAAACACAATCTTGACAATCATTTGGACCCTCGTACATTTATATACTAACCTACTGCCTAAATATTGGACAATTAGACTACAGTCATATGATCACACCATGTCAACAATAAAGCATCTATTTATAGACTATAATGACAGGCTGATCCTGATTGAATGACAGTTTAGAACCTGGAGTCATCCTAATACGGGCCCCCTCAACTATGTGTATACACGACCCGATCGAAATCGATCACGTGCACAGACACTTAACCTCCTAACTTCAATCACTTCGCTATGTTTATAGATGGAAAATAATATGAATTATTTTTCATTCAAAACTCCACCTGGAGTCCCTCTGAGGTTACTGCTAATCCCAAGCCCGTATAAAGTAGGAAGGTTAGGCATGGGGTTAGCAACCTCATTCCGTAGAAAACTAACTCACTAAAAAAACACTAACCAGAAAAAAAATGATTCAAACCGTTTAAACTCTGCCCCAAGGAGTTCGATCTTCATTTAGACACCTCATAATGAAAGCCGAATTCCTTCGGAAGTCACGAGGTCGATGCTCCTCCTAACAACCAGAGAAACCATTAAAAAATGCCTCATGAAAAATTCTTAAATATTCTACCACACTAATGAATCATTTTCTTAAATGTTAAATGAATTAAAGAATAGAAGAAAAAAGATCTTTAATCTATCGATCAACATTACCCATTATTACCTACCTACCTACCTACCTATAACAGGGAACAATGTATACACTTTATAAATTTACTTTCATTCATTCACTTGTCTATTTTGTATAATATACCCACAACACCTTACCTCATTTCATTGAACCATTTAACTTTTTAATCAATAAATATGTGCCTGAAGTTATGTTATTGTTATTTTTTGGTTGTTGTTGGTGGTGGTGTTAGTAGTAGTAGTGGGGGGAATGGTGTTCAATTAGACTAAGCAATCACATATGATAAGAA